CCGGAATACCATCAGGCCCGCTGGACTTCTTGACGTCTAGGGAGATAAGTGCTCGACGCACTTCACGTTGCGTGAAGCGTACTTCAGGCATCATGCTATCACACTGCGAGATGGTAGGCGGCGATAATCCCCCGTCGTCAAGAGTAGAATTTGAGGCAAAAAAAGAGCACAGGAGATCTGCTTTGTCTTTTGCAGAATGTGCCAGCGTGCTATCCAGTTTGCACAGAGTTGGTATGGATGGTCGACAGAAATTTCCTTCCGCAGCTTTGGCGAGAGCCCAAAAAGCACGCGATCCAGATGGAAGGCTTAGAAGTCTCTTGCCAATGCTGCGAATATGATCGTCTCTTGCCCTGGCCATTAGTGTCTTGCACGATCTAGAAGCAGCATTAAATTTTTTGAGATCGGTGACGTTAGGATCCTTCGCTATGCGGGCAGCAACCCAGGCTCGATAGGATTCCTGCTTCTCGCTAGAAGCTCTAGCACAGGATGCATCGTACCAAGGTTGCGATTGACCGCCGATACGGACGGTAGAACTGGGAATGAAGCATTCCATTCCCTGTAAAATCGTATCCGCAACGGTATCCGCGCAATACGAGGGATCATCCGATGAAAAGCAGATGCGCTTCCATGGGTAGGATGCGAAAAATTCGCGCAAACCATCCCAATCAGCTGATTTATAGTGCCATACTCGCCGCGTCCCGCTTGGGCGGCAGTAGGTGGATATCGACACCTTCGAACGTACCAGACAGTGGTCAGAAGAACCCAGGGGCGTCGACGCACACCTGGTAGTTATCTGGGCACGTGGTCAGGAGAAGATCAAGCAGAGACGGCGCATGGCCTTCGACATCCGGTACTCTGGTGGGTTCAGGTACCAACTGTGAGAAGCCATAAGTCAGCGCAAAATTAAAGGCAATTCTCCCTGCGTAGTCTGTGGTCCGAGATCCTAACCAGTCAACGTGGTGGGCATTAAAATCCCCGAGGATCACAACCTCCGCGCAAGGATAACGCTGGAGCAGGAAATCTGTCGCTTCTTGGACGTGTCTAAAGAGTCGGTCTATTTCAGCGTTCCCACTATGGGACCTGTAGATACACGCATAGATTCGGGTATATCCCCCATATTCTATTCGTGACCATAAAATTGACAGGTCCTTGTCTTCAAGGTTGCTCAGACGGCGACAGCAGATATCTTCCCTGACGAACATACAAACCCCTGCTTTAGGCAGAAAGACATGCTCCAAGCTGTAACCGGGATATTTTAAATATGATGTATCGACAGGAGAGGATATCTGCGTCTCCGTTAAAAAAAGTAAGGCCGGCTTAGCTGTCTCAAGATGGTGATGGACAGCAATGAGGTTAGAATGTAGTCCCCTTATATTGCAGACGTCCACGTTAAACGTGGAAGGGGTGGCCGCTGTGCAAACGTTTCTTACTTTTGTTGCAACCATGAGAGTGTCTAAAAAGGAGAAGAATGAGGAATTCTAAGATTTCGGCGCCCCCAGGACAAATGTAGCATTTAGGTTTGTGTCTATCCAGACCACCCAGGCTGTGTGTCTTGCTGGCATGGGGGACGGAAGGGCCCCCGATCCAACCCGACACTGATCGCCGTGTTCCACACCGGTCTCCCACTCCGGCACTGCGATCAACGCACGGGCTTTTAACATTGGTGGCGGGACAGCCTCCCAAACCGGGATAAGTTTGGGTTCGGGTCCCCTACGAACCAACGGGCGGCCAGCGGTACACCGTTTCATCGGGTCTCCCTGGACCCCATGCCAACATAACACGCCTGAATAGAAGGGACGAACTTCACCAAAATACCGGTCCTGAGGTCGCCGAGATCAACAGAATTCGGGAAAGGGGGGCTGGCTTACATGTCTACGACTGGAACACGTCCGAGGACATTTGGCAATCGAATACGACATGGTAGTGGTCGCGAGCCAGTCGAGAGCGGTGCCCTCTACCACCATACTAGCATGGGTTACTCGCCTTTTACGAGACGCTTTCCCAGCGGCGGGGGAGAAATGTATTCTAAGCCCGTCTCCCCACGGGCAAAATGTAACGGGATTAGACTGTGAGTATATTAAACATCATAGTGGCCGCTGTGTTTGCTGGATGTGCTCGGGGGTATCAGAATGAATACCTCGAATACGGGCAAAAAGCTACAGCAATAAAAACTTTTTAATAAAAAAATAAAAACCGACTTCAAACAAAAGCACTAAAAAGTAAAAAATAACTGATTGGTAGTTTTTGTTTACTACATATACCTAATCAAATATTTTCGAAGTCGGTGTGCTTTGCTTTGTATCGGCTGGCTTTTATTTTTCCCTTTTATGTGTAGACAGTAGTAGCAAAGTAAGAATTCTAACGTGTTAGGTTTGTCAAATCAAACAAAATAAGCCCAAACTCAACGTATCTACTATTAGCCGTTGAAGAGTTCCACCTATCCACCTTCTGGCCTTATCAGGTCAACAATACTGAACCACTGTACTATCAACGGAAATAAAAACACTTGCAAAGTTTCAAGTCTATATGACAATTAGAAGTAGGTTAAATTCATCATTAACTATTTTTCCACCCTTAGAGGTGGTATTTTTTTTTTGAAATTTAAATGGGACCAATCTGGAAGTATACACTTTCAAACAAAACAAAAATTGTCCAAATCGGTTAATAAATGACGGAGTTCTGAGGTAACAAACATAAAAAGAAAAACAACCGAATTGAGAACCTCCTCCTTTTTGAGAAATTCCGTTGATAAGAATGGCGCTTTATATCTAACTTAAAAAAGAAGGAGAAGGAGGGAGACCGTAAGCTTTAGGTTTACTGAGTGTATGGGTTTTTAAAAATAACGTAGATAGAATTAGCCTGTTAGAATGTTAATTAAAAACCCATATTAGCCAAGTTACATTATTCTAAAGTCGTAAACATTGTATGCGATGGTATCATTGTACTCTTTACCTCTAACTCTCTCTCTTTACTTTGTAAAGGTGGAATCGATAAATATGTGAAAAAAAAACAGGTCGTGGAGCTTACTAAATACCAAAAATGGAAAATTATTTAGAAAATTTGTAACCTATATTTAACATCTTTTAAGATATTTTGAGTTACAATCGCTAAAATTAATTTTGTTTTCCATATATCTTTAAAAATAATAAAACTTATACGAACTTATTTTTGCAAATAATAAAGTATGTGTGAAAAAGTTTATTTTTTCCGTAATTGGATCGCGGGAGAAGCCGCGGGCTCTGCTAGATATTATACATATGCTGATAAACACATTACCCTTCTTTGCGTCGCGCAGTCGAGTAAAACTAGAATTATTTTAATTTTAAAATGACTCCTTTAAAATATCTACTTTGGTATTATGTATCTGTTTGTCAACTGTCTATTTGCCTATCTGTATGTCTGTCTATCAATAACTTAACTACATAATTATGTAGTCATTACATAAAAAAATATTTTTAAGCCGGAAAATATTTTTTTGTTTAATAAATTGCAAGAAAAAAAATCTGTAAGAAATAAAATTTAAATTACATATACAAAATTGACTTATATAAAGGCAGCGAGGTGTTTGAAAGGTGAACTCTGGCAAATATTGACAAGTATGGGAACTACTTCGAGTTAATAAACCACCATATATATTTTTTTAAACCATTATAAAATGGTCTCAAAGTGATTGAGCAAGTAAAGAATTGACCATGTAATCACTAAGTCACGACACGATTATACTCGAATACGCCCGAATTCTTATAGTAGGGGAGCCCAAGAGCGGATTTTGGGATGGGGGATACCTTGCACTCTGTTGTGTACCTCCATCATATTATATTATGTTCATTGTATATAAGGTCGCGCGTCTAAGGCAGCCGATAAAATTTAAAAAAATATTTTGATAAGTTGGCTCCCCTACTATTACGATTAAACTATGCATTTGCAATGTCACAGTAAGCTAATTTCCCGGCCGCTGGATACCCGTTCATCCAGCCTTACAGCTCACGGGATATCCAGTATCCGGCCAAAAATATCTTAATCAATATTTTATAAATTACGAACTGTAAAAAAAAATTAATACTTAATAAAATGTCACAGTAACAAGATATAATGTTAAATGACTTTCAAGGTTTGCTTAAAATAGGTTTTAAACGAGCCTTAAAAAAATAGAGATTTTATAAAAAAGCAAATAAGCCATTTTAGATATATTTATTAAAGTTACTAGTAGCCATTGATGATGATTGATGAATTGGACGTGTGCATGTGATGGTTTCAAATTGTTGAGTTGTCATCAGGATCAAGTATGATGATAGGTCTACTAACAGAATCCTAGAAAACCTTCAAAAAGCTCTTACCGCACTGCCGCAGGATTACATACATTTCCTAAAAAAGTACACTGATCTTTGATATTATTGTACGGATTTTTCCGAGTATATTGATTCCTATGACATGATGATGATAACATCATCATGTCATCCTAACACCAGCTCTTGTGCTTGGGAGAGTATAAGATCAAATCTTATATAATCATAATAAATATGTTGGGATATTAACACACAGCACCATCTAGTTCCAAGGTAAGCTACGAGGCCTGTGTTATGGATATCAGATAGTTGATACACTACACATATATAACTTTAAATACATACATATTATAAATATAAACACCCATGACTGGAGTACAAACCTTCGTCATCACACAAATGAATGCCCCCAGCGGGACTCGAACCCGCGGCACAGAAAGTAGGGCCACTACAAACTGAGCCAAACGTGTCGTCAATGATGATGATAAAATAGCTATAATTTGTTTAAAAAAGTACAATGACACTTCTGAGATCATCCTTACAATATTAAAATATTAATATTATAGGTATACTATAAAATATATCCTTTTTCTATCACAAATAAATCATATGTGCAATATTAATTACGTATCACACCTCTAACAAATTCATAATCATATTAATATTGTATTACTTTGCTTGAATATTTTTATTTCAAGTATATTTTTGTTCCAGCATCAAAGCTTATTCTACGCGGCATTAATGGCGAGTTCCGCTCGGGCCAGCTGACTGCTATCTTGGGCCCTTCCGGCGCAGGCAAGAGCACTCTACTAAACATACTTGCTGGTTATAGGTAAAGTTTAATCAATTTCTAATGAATTTGGTTTTTCCGAGGCTTACACATGTTTCATTACACAGGTCTGCTTTTATATACATAATACACATATGTAAAACTATACTTAAACACTCTGTTTATACCAGTTGAACTAAATTTAAAACAAATGATCTCCGAGACGATAGAAATATATATATAATATGTTTTTATTCTATATAATATAATATAGAATAAAAACGTACGAGGGTTTCATGTGCACCCCAAGGTATGTGCCTGTAACACTCCCTTCGAGCTACTATCCAAAATTTCTTGAGTAGATTATATTTGATCCGAGTCTGGAACTCCAACCCTGGACTTCATGTTTTATGTCCGCACATATTGATCACTATTCTAATGATATTAAAATCATCTGAGCATAAAAATATTAAATTATCTGATACGAGTTGCTCGATATCTATAGTACGTTAAGAGTAGGTAGTAGGAATAACAAAGTTTTATAATAACTAAATAAATAATAAGGACAAGCATTTATTACAAAAGGACATAATATAGATAAGATCCTTTTTATATCTAAATTTTATTTCTGTTATTGATTTCATGGCTTCCCAGTCGAGTTGGTTCTGTCCATAGAAGTAGATGTCATGGACTGTTTCCTAATGCGGAAGACATAATTTATTCGGAGTGACCTTTAACTTAATACTTTTAAGTAATAGTATCTAACATAAGAATATTGGATAGCAAATTGAAGAACAAACATTCTGTATTCAGTCCTGTTTAATGTAATACTGCAGGGCATGGGCCTTCTGTCAATGGGAGGGGGATCAGGCCATGGTAATGGACCAGCGAAATACACTGATCAAGTGCGTGGTAGACTTCACATGTCTTTGATGTCTTTGACAGAAACTTGATAGGTTTCCTTAGACATACATACAGGTTTCCTTGTGACATTTTTCTTTAACGTAAAGCAAGTGGTTATTATAAATGATTCGCACACAAGAATATCGGAGTTGGAAGACCTTGGATTCAACCCCACTTCACTTAGTTTTCCAAGCACGTTTACATTGGGCTAACACTGCCATTTTTAACATTCTATAACAGAAATAAATATTTGCCCATAGGGATTTTATTGCCTTTGGCAAAATATTCATATGTAGCTTTTGTTATATTACGATTCCATTATATTTTTTGTTATTTATTAACATTGTCGTAACATTGGAAATGAAATTGTCTTTTCGAATTTTTTGCGGGTTTATTTAGATTTTTGGTTCTTGACGTTTCGCCTCGATGGAGTATTTCCCGTGATCAAGTTAGCTGTAAAGTATTCAAAACGTGGGAAACCAAAAATCAAAATAAATCTGCAAAAAAATCCGAAAATATCCTTTTATTTAAAATATCAGTCACATATTCGCGTAAATCTTAGTAAATATTGTGGACGTAACATTTACAAGTATTAACCGGTCAAGCAACTTTTAACTACTGATAGGCATGTAGGGATGCGCCCGAAAGAAGTGAGAGTATGCCCCTAGGAAATCTACAAGAAATATTTCTTTTTTTAGGGTAAACGGCGCATCTGGACTTATAACTACAAATGGAGAGCCGAGGGACTTGCGGCTCTTCAGAAAGCTGTCTCGATACATCATGCAGGACGATCTTCTGCAACCTTTTATCACCGTGCAGGAAGCAATGACGATGGCAGCGGACTTGAAATTAGGCAACAACATGAATAAAGAAAGGAAGACTATTATTGTTGGTATTTTATTCAGATAGGTACTAGTTTTGATCATGAATTCGATCGCTTAATTTATTTTTGTGTAATTTTTCCTCACAAAAACTCGTAAAATTACAACAGATAACTACCTCAATGAATAAAGCCTACAGTTCCAGAGATCGATTTATTTTAGTACGTTCAAACAAATAAAAAAACTAAAGTTAATAAAAAAAACTAAATTGAATAATTAGAAAACTATTAATATGTATTCGATTATTTTGTAACATCAACAAGTTTATCGTATACCTAAATTTAATACGGACTTTTGTGTGGAAAAGTCAATGGTCTCTTTTGTGCAACCTATATAAAACAAGAGGGAAATCTTTCAATGCAATGTTTTCTTATGGGATAATTCTTGAACATTAATATTCTTATAATAACGATTCAGTTCTTATCCCTTATTAATAGATGGTGCAGCCAAAAACCCTTGAAAAAAGGAATACTTTGCCATCGGGCGAGGCCACGTGTAAAAGCTAGATAATATAAAAATGCTGTTTACAATTTTATATTTACACCAATCATTAAATTCTTGGTTGTGAGTAATCAAATATGTTTTAGATAGAAGAAATATTGCAGCTATTACGATTGAATAAGGCGCGGAACACATCAAGCGAGCTTCTCTCAGGCGGGGAACGGAAACGATTATCCATTGCTTTGGAGCTCCTTAACAATCCACCGGTTATCTTTTTAGACGAGCCGACCACGTGAGTATCTATGAAAGATTTGATCTGTATTCAATCAATTTTAATAGTTTCTAGATGATAAAAATGTGTAGAAATAAATAATTATTTGACCTTTATGTGGACGAGCTATAATTGTGGTACTATTATATGTAAATGAGAAAATTTGTATGTGTGGATGTGTATATTTGTTACTGCTTGATGACGAAACGGATAGGACCGGAATCATTTAAGAATAACCTGTTTTTTAAGTAGTCCTAACTGAAAATATGCTAGTTTTAAAGATATTAGGGACAAAAATAGTAGAAATAATGAGATTTATATTTCTAAAATGTAGCAACTGCGTGGAAATTGGAAATTCTTTAAATTGGGTGCTGCATCATTGAGGCCTCAGCGAAGCGAAAGAGGGTTTCGAAAAGCCATTGTTCTGACGATGCCTTTTTTGTAACTTATATACATATTGCATTATTATTTTATCGTCATCTATACATATAATAAAATTATAACTAAGTGAAATTTGTACATTACATATATTTTGAAAAATCTTATTGAAATAGTCATTATTCTCGATACAGGGGCCGAATCTATAGTTTGTAGAATGTTCGTCTGTCTATCTGTCTGGAAACGCATCACGAGAAAATAACTGGACAGATTTTGATGAAATTTGGTATGATGATAGCTGGTTATCCGGGTCAACATATAATATACTTTTTAATGCAGAAAAATATGAGATCTAGTTTTGACATGAATTGCTATCTTATTGGTATATCTTTATTATTATATTTATATGATTCATATTTTATTATAATATAATTTTGATAATTATCCAATGTAAGAATTTCAACATAAATGATTTTTTTTATAAAACTAAACAAAACATTAATTTATATCTATATATTTGTTAATTGTACATTGTCCTTATAGAGTTGTGTCTCACATTAGCTTAATTAACAATATAATTAATTTTCGCTTGTTTTTTATGATCGTATTCACTTATTTCGAAATATATATATTAAAGCTAGTTAGTAATTTTAACTTTTTGTTATGGGATATTCAAAATGTACAGTAAACTTGACAAAAAAAAATCACGAACACCCTTATACCTCATCCGAATAAGTATAAACTAACGTTTAAAGCAATCGAAATAGCCTACATATTTTAAAACATTATTCTTGTAATTTAAGGGGTTTGGATGACGTCGCATCATCGACCTGTGTGTCTCTCTTAAAACGAGTGGCACGAGGAGGTCGAACAGTTATCTGTTCTCTACATACTCCTTCCGCGAGGATTTTCTCCGTTTTCGATCATGTATACGTGGTATCTGATGGGAAATGTGCGTACCAAGGGACTGCTGCTGGAGTGATACCATTTTTAGAGGAATTACAACTACCGTGTCCAAAAACTTATAATCCTGCTGATTTTAGTAAGTTTTATAAATATATGTACGTACATTCTACAGATTATGTATATTTTTTCTTTATTCTTATAGGCAAATATTTAATTTGACGTGCTCCACAAAGCACTACTATCATTGCCAATTTCTGAACTCCGAGTTGAGATTAAGAATTTTTGACGTAAACTCATAACTTTTAGCCCAACACAGGACTCGAGCATAAGATTTCATTATTATGCCCCTAGAATTGTCTTTAAACTCATACGAAATATGTGTATACACATTGTACGAATCGACCGTCGTTTAACGCAGTGATGCCGTTTGCGAGTTGTTGATCGTGGGTTTAATTTCCTCATTTTATTCGTGATCCATACTAAGATCAAGGATATTTTGGATTTGTGCGAATATCTTTATGGCCGTTGCAGCAATATTAGATTATTTCTATCTATATGATTGAAGAAGAAATAAAAATCGTGCTTAAAATTGTAGGTACGCCTTTTTTAATGTCACTCTTTTTACTTTTTACCAAAATCTGTCAAAAAATTTATAAGAGAAAGCTATTAAAAAAGGTCTTAATTAATTATTATTTATTAAATGACAACCAACAAAAGATACATTAAAAACGGTATGATATTCACGTGCTAACAATTTCATAAATGTTCTTTTAGTTATAGGTTATCACAACATGCTCTTTTTTCTAAATCACGTCAATAGCATTTAATTACAAGATGCAAGTTTAAAATAAAGAAAAAAAGTTAATAAATAAAGTTGAAATATATAATTTATTATAAAATTAATAAATATGACAATTGAAATATAAAAAAATACAATCAGACATATAATTAGAATAAATTAGATAATAATATTTAAATAGTCAATCCAATAAAACAAAAAAATCAAAAACAGTCAATTGTAACATAAAGACTTCGTTTATTTCCCATTGTAGATATCTGTTCTCAGTCTGATATAAAAGTAATTTTAAATTGCGAAGCTGCTGACCGCGCCTAATACTTGATTATAGATGTTGAAAAATTTTCTATTGTTTTGTTTGATGGACTATAATTGTAGGGAGATCAAAGATAAAATGTTTGAATGCTGGAATAAATATTTGAACGATTTTCCTTAAGACCTTGTAGCATAAAATTAATTAAAATTTATTGGATTTGTTAAATTTTGATTATTGCTTATTAATGGAGTTGTTACTATTCTTCGTAGTTGTCTTCAAACTTTTTTGCTAGATAATTTATTACATAGTCTTAAGGCCGTAATGTAATCAAATAATCTATAGGTACATATAATAAAATTGTAACTAAGCCGAATCTGTACATTAAATATTTTTTGGAAAATCTTATTGAAATAGACATTATTATCGATAAAGATTAAAGAGGTCGAATCTATAGTTAATAGAATTTTTGTCTGTCTGTCTATCTGTCTGTCCGTTACCGCATCACAAAAAAACTACTATAGGGATTTTGATGAAATTTGGTATTATGATAGCGTATCCATCGATACTAAACTTTAAAACGTACGTATGTTATAACGTAGTATGTTATAAGTTGGATAGAATACCGCAACAATATTAATTATATTAATGAGTTAAACTAGTTGCCATACTGTATTTTTTGTGTCACACAACTTTCACACAACACTTTTACTGTCTGAAGGATTGCAAAGAAAAATATGATAGAGATAACAGTGAAAGTGGCATCTACCCAAGCGAAGAATACATTGACATGTTACTATATTATCTCTGTCAACCCTTAATATCGTATATATGTGTTTCACTTAAGACCTAATATTATGTTATTTGTGTTATTGACCCGACTGATCGGCACTCCTTTTGATCAGGAGTAAGTTGCAATTGGGTGAATGTCTCCACCCATTGGTCAATGAAAATTAGGTAAAATTAGGGAATAGGTAGCGCATCAAATGTGTATGCGCATTGTGCACACACTTGTATACCATTATAGATATATTCCGGTTATCTGGTTGGTTAGTCAATAGAATTTACTGCCGTCCCATAAAATCAGTCAGGCGGATATCCTTTTGATCCAAAAAGCTTATATAATAATATTTAATACTTGTGTTTCAGTCATAGAAGTATCGAGTGGAGAATACGGCTCGCATACTGATCGTATGGTCGCATCTATAGATAATGGCCGATCTCAGAAATGGAGAAACTATGCCGTGAATAAAGTTTACGAAGCGACGGAAATCGAACAATTAAATACAGGTGTGGTTGAAAAACACAACTATAAGTTTGAGAGTACGCCGTATTATCAGTTCTTTGTACTTTTGAAAAGAATGGTCTTGCAAACTGTTAGGAATAGGGTAAGTTAATAATAATAATTTAGCACTTTTTCCCATTACTAGGAACAGGTCTTCCCTTATTGCGTAGGGGATCAGACCATGTTAGCCAAATCAATGGACTTCCCATCTTCGATCTTCCAAAAACTAGTTAGGTTAGGAAAACACCTGCACACACTTGCATGTCTGGTCGTGCAGTCTTAAGCTACACTAGGTATTAAACGCGTATATTTTACAATCTCATTTTTATGTAACAAGCACAAATAATCAAATTTTGTCTCTTTATAAAATTAATTCAGAAAAAAATAATAAAAAAATCATAAAATAATAAATTAAAATTAATAATATGACATGTCGAGGGAAAGAGCAAGTTAAGTTATATGGAATACAATAATATATTTTTGAAAAATGTGAAGAAGTTGGTCCCTTACTTTACGAGTATCTCTAAAATTACTGAGTCAAGAGTTACGGTATGATTTGGTACCTATACTCGCCTTCACTCATAATAATGTAAGGAAATCTAATAATAATGTACAAAATTCTCCTTAACTAGATTCAGATTCGTGCATAACTATTTTCGGAAATCATTTTAGTGCCTTTATATTTTGAAACCACTTCTATTATATTATGTTGGTTCATCGTTGAGTTCTTAAATAAAAAGGATATCCTTGTTATGAGATTGCATAGCAATCAATGTTGGAATTGACTCGTATGATTGAAAAAAGTCTTTCATATATACATATGTAGTAATAAAGTCGGGTTTATGGTAAAAAGACGGATGACACGTTTGGCTTAGTTTGTACTGAACCTACTTGCTGTGCCAGCGGTCGTGAGTGCAAGTCCCGCTGGGGGCATTCATTTGTGGATGAGTACGAACGTTTCTACTCTAGTCATGGGTGTTTATATTTATAATATGTATATATTTAAAGTTACATATGTGTAGTGTATCAACTCTGGTATCCATAACACAAGTCTCGTAGCTTACCATGGAACTGGATGCTGCTGTGTGTTAATGTCCCAACATATTTATTTTTTAACTAGCGACTCACCCTCGCTTTGCTCGGGTTCGTCCCTCGCTCGATTCCCCATGCAAAATTTCACCCCCATTTTCATCCCCTTAAGGGATAATTTCCGGGATAAAAAGTCTCAAACTATCTCCTTACCAAATTTCATCTATATCGGTTCAGTAGATTCAGACATTACCCCCTACAACGTTACAAACCCACAAATTCACAAAACTTTACCTCTTTAAAATATTAATATAGATTTGTTTCTAAAACGAATTAAACTATATTAAATGAATGAATGAAAATGAAAACTAAAAAAATACTCACTCACTCAGTGACTTTATCTGGAGAAATCAAAAATTCAAACGAGACTCAACATAGTTAACATCACATATCTACAAGATTTTTTTGATCCTTAAAAGCAAAAATTCGAAAACGAGGTCAATATTGACGAAATCATATTGCTTCTGGATATGGAACCCTAAAAAATCATTTCACCAGAGACAGTGGCAGGTAGAAATGATTTTAAGCTATAACTTTATTTTTAGGACAATCTTTGGATGCGAGTGTTCATGCATGTGTTTCTTGGTGTAATAATTGGCGCCCTGTTCAATAAAATGGGCTACGATGCATCTAAAACTCTATTCAACTTTGGATTTTGTTACGCGTGCATTATTGCTATGTTGTACACCACTATGATGCCGATACTACTCGCATGTGAGTATTTGCAACTTATATAATAATATAAAAAAACATTTTCTTTGAAAAATATTAAGAAATACCTATATAGGTATTTCTGTTTTGTAATAAAATAAGTATGTTTATACTATATGTATGTATACGAGTAGTAGTAGTAGTAGAGAGTAGTTCTGGTATTTATTTATTTTCTAAAATACTTATATGGTGTACATATATATATTTCTGTTTATATATTTTTTTATCGTTTCTTTACATTTTCTCTTTCAGTCTCGCTACTTAACACTATTTCCTACAAACATGGGTTGACTGGAAGAGATCTCTTACAGAGAGAAGTCCACCTTTGTCCACGTTAATTTCCATCTATTTTTTTTTCATTACTTGTTTAGTGCAATAAAGAATATCAATATGTATATAAAATAATTCTTATATAATAAGAATTCCTGAAGATATGGAATTGACTCTTTTAACTTAATTTTATACTGAAAATTTCTTTTATTTCATTTGTGATTTTAAAATTAGTTCTTTTGACTTATAACCGATCTGCTATTTGAAAAATATAGGCGCAACATTAGAACAGTAATTAATATAACTTTTGCTTGCGCTTCCACGAGTATATCTTTTGTAATTAACTCGTACATATTAATAGTTACATGCTATATTTGACATGCCATAAGTGAGAAAATGAAGGGAAGCATTCTAGAAGTTGTATATAAGCTAGTTAGTAATTTTAACTTTACTAAACCTAATCCTAAATTCCTAATATATAACCTTATTTAGTTTCCTAATATATAACTAAGTTTTATGGAAACCTATGCAGTGGTATTATGTATATATGTGTTTTCTCATAGGAATGTTATATTTTTCTATAACTAACATAGCGCTTAACATAGCGGTATAATTTAATACTGCTACGTGAATTTCGAAAAGACACAAATTTAGATAATTTATCTGATTTGATCACTCAAAAGGTACTCTGTAAAATAAACTTCGCTCCGTATACGTAACTTTATCCGGGAATTACATTCATTATCAGCTAAAATTACACACAAGTCGCAACATGTGACTTCATTGACATACAATGATTTATTGACCTATCAACATCGATCAATAAAGTATTAGATACTGAATCCCCTGCAAAAGTTCTCTTAAAACTGTCACCAATTGTGTTTAGGTAATTATTCTTGTTGAAATAAATATACAACAATATAAATTGAACTTTAAATGCAATGCTTAAAGTTGGTTTTACAAAAAAAAATTAGGAGCGCGCTCAAATGTTCAAATGAGCGCTCATTCGGTGAGGACATTTTTTGTCGCTGACTGCATATCTAGTACTTTTTTGATCGATGCCTATCAAAAGGTAAATATTTATTATTGGTAAAAGGTAAATATTTGGCATACGTGCAAATAGCGTGGAGTAACAATCAAAAATGTATTTCTAGAAAGTACATTCACCGAAAGACATGTTATTTACTTTAGCCATACGTGAACTTTATTTATTTTTTTATTTTTTTACGCGACTGCGTCAAATACCAAGGTAGATATAAATATAATATTGATTTCAGATCCGACAGAAGTATTACTTGTCAAGCGAGAATATTTCAACCGATGGTACGGTTTAAAGCCGTACTACGCAGCATTGTTAGTTTCTCGAGCTCCTGCGACCATTTTCTTCAGCCTCCTATATCTGGTCATAGTGTATCCTCTGACATCACAGCCTATGGAACTGTCCAGAGTTATGATGTTCATCTCAATATGCATTTTGGTAGCAATGATATCGGAGTCGATGGGGACGTTGATTTCGTCTAGTTTGAGTGTAGTAGTAAGTAACATATTATTTTTAGCTGCTGTTAGTGTATTGCAGTATTTTAACGTATTAACTTTATTATTTCCTTACACTTACCTCTTTGTGCTTAAAACATCAGTGTCCTTTTTTTTTTTTTTTTTATGTCGGGTGTGGGACCAAGCGGTCCCACCCCGGTGGCCGCAACGTCTTCGGCTCGAGTCCTAGACGAGCGGCCCCACCCAAGCCATTTGGTCCGCGCCGGATTTCTCCGGTACCACCCGCCGCCCTAAGCGGGTGGCATTCCCCTATCCGCCACCTGGGGACGCGCCCGGTAGGAGATGACTTCTCCCCCGGGAAAAAAAAAAACATCAGTGTCCTAATCTATCATTACAACAAACATTTTGAGCTCCAACTATGAATTCGAACTTTAATTTTAACTACTTATATTTTGTGGGTTTGCGACTAATAGGCTTTTTACAGCTGTTTTCATTTATCTTAGTATACAATCGCCAACGGTTTTTTAAATTATTAATAACAAACTAAAACTTGGCGAGCTTTAATCAACCACTATCAAATTCTTGTAGAAAGAATAGTCGGGCGTCTCGTCAAAATGAAGCTACTCATGAAGTTTTACCTTGTTATTAATTATTAAAAAATCTGTTGGTTACTGTACCTAGACTATCTCTTCGTCATCCTTTTATTTATCATAAATTTTGTTTCTTTGGTTTCCTTTATATAATGAATAAACATGTTGGGACATTAACACATAGTACCATCTAGTTCCATGGTAAGCTACGAGGCCTGTATTATTGATAGCAGATAGCTGATAAACTATACATATATAACTTTAACTCATGACTGGAGTACAAACATTCGTGCTCATCACGCAAATGAATGCCCCCAGCGGAACTCGTACCCGCGACCGCTGGCACCGCAAGTAAGGTCACTACAAACTGAGCCAAACGTGCTATATATTTTCCTTCTTTGTCCATGTATTACATAAGTACTTTTTTGTTTTATTGCTTTCGCATGGTACCTTTTGCATTATTGGCGGCATAACTTCAGAAATGATCGCAATTAACATGTCATAACTTGTATTCTAGAAACAAATTTTGACTTTATAGATAGAAGCCACAGACAGGCGCAAGTTATTTATTGTATTTTTTTTCTCTTATAGCTTAGCACTTATTTAAGAAGAGAAAGCACATTATTTTTGTCTTGTTAGTGTTCTTAGTCTTGTATTAAATTAAATAAATATACACACTATGTTTTAAATAAATTCCTTTATTTTCTAGAATTCAATGTTTGTTGGACCAGTAGCGGCAGTTCCTCTGATGTTGTTAGCAGTATATGGCATAGGTAGTGGGGATGAAGCTCCTCCTCTCATTTGGAGGCTGGCTCGTAGCTGCTCCTATATGAGATACGGCTTAGAAGGTCTTATTGTGGCAATTTATGGACCACCGAGAGATGACCTGATTTGTCCTGATGATGTAGTCTATTGCGAGTACAAAAATGTTAAGTAAGTAATCGAATGCGTTACAAATATTAGACAGAAGTTTTGAAGTATGTTACTAAGTGTAAGTTTGGAGTATACGAGCTTACGCGAGTCCGAATTGTGTCTTGTAAATGGTTAATATTCAGAATTAATATATGGGCTTCTTATTTACATACAACGTGACCCGAGCCGCAGCTGAAAGCTACTAGCAGTATAATAAAATACCTCAATGCAAAAAGCTACTTAGTGACTATGAGTTTAAAAAAGTTTTGAAAAAAGCTTTAACAAAACTAAAGAAAAGCTTTAACTTTCTACATAAAATACTTTCTTGGGTTTACGCCAATATTTTAAGTAAAACTGTCTTTTCGGTTTTTTTCGCGAATTTCTCCCGTGACAATGATTGTTATAAAGCATTCGAAACTTCGGGAACCAAATATTAAAAAAAACCGCGAAAAAATCCGAAAAGACAGTTTTATTTCTATATAGATTTAAGATTGTTTTTCAATAAGGTATTTTTATTCTTTTCATTTCAGATATTTCGTCAAAATGATGGGAATGTCAGGTGTATCGTTTTGGGTTGATATTACAGTTCTTTTTGCTATGCTGTTTGGTATGAACTTTGCTGCGTATTATCTATTACGACAGCGACTATCGCCTAACTACGCCTTCAGAGCTATCAAAGTTATAGGCAGATTCATTAAATCTAAAATAAGTCTTAAAACGTAAATTACTATAGCGCTAATGATTATGAGCTTTTATTATATTCCCTTAATTCGTTTCAATTTTGACATATTATTATTTATTAATAACTAGCGACTCACCCTCGTTCCGCTCGGGTTCGTCCGTTCGTACGTTTTAACGGTTAGTATAGATTTCTCAGAGGTGAGATATTTTCACAGAATAAAAAGTCTCCTATATGTTGACCCAAATACCCAGCTATCATCATACATCATAATCTGTCCAGTCGTTTTGTCGTGATGCGTTCCCATACAGACAGACAAAAATTCCAAAAATTCTAGATTCGGCCTCTGTATCGATAATAATGACTATTTCAATGAGATTTGCAAAAAATATTTAATGTACAGGTTTGATTCAGTTTGAATTTTACTAGCCACTTAGTTTTCGTTTCAAAAGATAAAAATAGTAATTGTGAGTTTATTTACTTTAAGTACACCATGCTATCCCGGTTTTTTTCGTGTAATCGTAAATTTTAATTTTGTGGTTTTCGATTTTCACGCTGGAACCGTATATAATTCCGGAATAAACTTTTATCTGTGTAAAAATCTCTATCTTTTAGTGAAAGTCGGATTACAATCGGTTAAGCTATTCCAAAGATGATCGCGGACAAAAAAGCAGACAGACAGACAAAACAAAACTCTATGTACTTGATAAAAACATAGTTATTTTGATATCACGGACAGACTCTTTAATGTTATTTATTAGATATACATATATTAAATATAGTAAATAAGTTTATTGTAAACGAAATGAAAGTGATACTAATAGTTTTAAGTAAATATCTTAATTTTTTTTCGACATTAGCCTCCTATTTTTATATTATTGGTAATATCAATACTAATATAATATTAAAAATATGAAGGTGTGTTTGTTTGTTTGTTTATTTGTTTGTTTGTCCTTTTTTTCACGTCGAAACGGAGTGACAGATTGGCGTGTCGTTTTGTGTGGATATACATAGTTAGAGGGCTGGAGAGTGATACAGGCTCCTTTTAACCGCGGGAGATTATTTCACTCCCACGGGAAAACGTTATGTAAAATATAGTATATCTATTCCATCATGACATACTAATCGTTTAAAACATACCTAGGGACGAACCCGAGCGAAGCGAGAGTGAGCCGCTAGTATAAATATATATCCTAAAAAACCTTCTCAGTGATATTTAGTTTCAGGGTAGCTTTATAAGGTTTAACTTATGTAGATATTACCTTAATTGTTTTTAAATAAAATGTGATATTATCTTAATAAATAGATTAGCTTATATTATATTTTTTTAATGATTCACTCCAGGGCCGAATTAACCGTGTCGGGGCTCGGCATTAGACAATGCAATTCTCAGGGCCTCTTCACCCTTTTCTAACTTAATGAAATACGTTTTTCTACCACAATGCAATTGTATTAGGTAGATTTCATGGAAAACTAACTGTTGTATTTGTCCTCGTGGTAGAATTTTCACCTATTTTTTTTATTTTTTTAATTAAAATGTTCACTCAATCAAACATCTTAAAATATTCTTTCTCTGTGCGTGGGGTCCCTAGCTGATGCGAGGCCCCTAGACAGTTGCCTATAGTGCCTTATGGATAATCCGGCCCTGATTGATCTTAACTTCCGACATTTTATTTATAAATAAGCTTTAAAACAGAACTTATAAACTTTGTAAGTACACGTGTATACATACGTGTTATTTTATATTATTATTTACAAATTACCAATATATTATAAGAAAAAAAAGTGAATAAGTTAAGCCCATATTTTTGTTTCATTTAATGATATAAGATCCATTACATACTAGAATGCTCTAGATTGAATGGTAAAATATAAAGTTTGATTATGAAAAAACTGACATTTATAATATTTTTAACTAATAAGTGATTTAAAATAGTGAACATCCAGCAAAAATATTAGGTGTAAATGTATTGATGCCAAATGCCAATTCATGTTCTTTTTTTAAATATATTTCGATTATAGTTACTATGCATGTTAGTAAGCTATTCTAAAGGTGTTAAGACTGGTACATTGTTTAGTTTGTTTATATTAAAAGTTTTTAACTGAAAAAGTTCTTTTTAGTTTTTTTTCATTTGCTATAGGTACCTACGTTTAATGTTTTGAATGAAACAGTTATTTTTGTTTGTGTGTTTATTTAATAACGAATCACTCCAGAGCGGATTTAAATGGGATTTTCATTATACGGGGTGTTTCTGAAATAAAAACGTACCTATATCTTTATCGATTGATATAAATAGAGGAAAAGCTGCCTCATTGGTTTAGAGTAGTCACTGGCTGGTAATTATGCCATCAGATTTCATATAAGTTATCTTTAGCTCAAAAATTAGCCATATTACTCATTAAACCAAAATCAATTTTTCAATAGAAGTGTATTTAAAAAATAAAGATAATTAGTAGATATATGATACACTAAATACTTTCAATAAAAATTATCGTGTGTATTTTTGCGCTTTAATCTTAAAATAAAAAATGGGGGACATTTCTTACAGAATAATTAAGCACAAAGCTTTTTTAAACCATTTATTATCCAAATCATGTAATCTCACTAAACTAAAATCACAATTTGTTTGTAAAATAAAAGAATTAATATAACTGACTAGCAGTCAACAATTGTAAATTAATATAAAAAAACATAATAATTTAAAAAAAATTCGCCAATTTCAGATCTAATCTTGCATACAGTGCATTTTTATACTAATCTCTAAGCATGTGTAGATAAACTTACAGCCTTCAATAACGATTTAAAGGAAATTGTTCGTAATACACTTATTCGTACGTATTAAAATATGTGTTTTCTATATTTAATTAAGTCAGTGATGTATTTTTTTACCAAGATTTAATAAGACTTACGACTTATTTACATGATAGTTCTGAAAATTGCTTAGTAAAAGTCTATTTGTATTTGTAACATGTTTGTTCCAATATAGCTCATGTCTATATTGATCGGTCTTAATTTTATCATCATATCATGTAATTTAGTAAAAAACAAATATTTTTTACTGTAAAAACGATTTTTCAATTCTTGAATGCTATAATTGTTATGAATTGCATACAATTATTGACAATTTTGATGCAATAAATAATCATGTAAACGTGCCTTACAATTACACAAAACTAAATTTCTAAACCTATCTCCTAATGCAAACACAATCGATTAGTGAAAAATTATTATACCAAAGTATTTTATAGCTTGTTATATAACTTTCACTTAAAAACTAACTCACTAAGGATTACCAAAAATATCTGCAATATGTCACTGATTTAAATACAAGAGTAGTTACAATTTCAATTCCCTCTATACAAATATTATAATATATGATTTAATTTAATACACGAATTATACAATTAATTATTTGTATTTATTTATCTATATTACGTATATTATATTTATAATGGAATGCTTCTTAATAAAAATGTATGAGTTGTTAGTGCAAAAGTACCTTAACAATATGATGTAGAATTCAAAAATGTGATTGTACATATTATGGATTTATGGGTTTTCGAACGTTATTTGCTTATTGTTTATTTTTCAATATTGGTTATAAGCATAGAAATAGAGAGTGAACTAGGTATACGTTAATTTATTTTTTCAGCCCTCAGCTAAAAATGGCGAAAAGGCATGACAGAGACAAAACGAATGTGCGGCCAGAAGTCTTCTATGTTTATATAAAAACTATTAATTTATAACCATTATACATTCTATTATAATAATATTTTTTTTACATTTCATTTATAAATTCAATTTGTAATAAAAGGCAGGTATTGGCCACACGTTCTCTTTCTCTCTTTCAAGAGTGTGGTCAATTTCATGAGAGTATGGCTCAGTCCGTTCTCTACATCTATGGTTATACATAAGTTATGTCACTTTTGCACTGATATTTAAAATATAATTATAACAGAATAAAATCACTTCATTATTTTTACAGTGATAATGGGACAGCATGTTAACTTCAAATACACATAACGTCTCATAGGAAACACTTGGTTTATTTTTTAATTCATTAAAAACCACCAAGCATGATAGAGGTTTGTAAATTTATAACCAGCGGTTAATATAACCAGTAATTATGTTTAAAAGCGATGAAAGTTGATTAATTTATGAATTTTTCGTTAGTTTCATAAAATTAAATTTTGGCAGTGAATATTTTCAACATAAAATTAAAACACAATATAAACAACTTAAGTACATTATTTATATATAAAAAAATACGTAAATGGCATAAAAATAGCTAAACTTAATTGGACATTTTTGAACATAACAAAAATTAAAATAAAATAAACGCTAAAAATGCCTATTAAATAAATTATTCTAAGAGTATCATACAATATGACCTATGGCCTACGTGTAAATATAAATATAAATATTAGTTAACACACGCTACAAAAAAATATTAAAAAGTCATCAATAAAAATTATTTCATATTTTTTAATTATTAAAAACTTAATAAGTTAATTTTCCATAAAATAAATATTTGTTTTACTTAGACGTTAACACATTTCTTTTTGATGTAGGTTCAAGATATTTAATCAAAAGTCCTATATTGCTAAATTACCATTAAGAGACTTTTTTCCTTCTTGAGAGTTGATAGCAGTCGAGAGAGTATAACAGTATTGTGAAGTGCCTGGAGCGGCATATTGGTATCCTCATAGTTACAGCGATGACAAAATGTTATAAAATAAATATAAAAAATACAATCTGCTTCGCTCAATATGTATTTTTACACAGAACACTATAATTTTTAAATTCATTGCCGGTTTTAATGCTTATAATTTATAAGTTTAACAATAGATTCAATTATTAGAGATACATTGATTATTTAAAATAAATTAATGCAATTCGAAAGCACAAATTCTTTTTTGGTAAAATTTGCTACAAATTTGTTAAATAGACACTATAAGTTTGTGTACACTCGTTTACAGTAATTACATTCTGAGTTTAAAACTTCCACACACTCCACTGTTAGTACCATAATAAAAATAATATTTTAATATAGCAACACATAAAATATATTTTTCAATTGAAGATTTAGTAGGTAGTTTTAAATTTTATGTATTGTATGCATTATTGTACTGCTAGGCGAGCAAGAGACCACAAGTAAAATTCTTCATAAAATAACAAAAAGTCCTAATACATACATAAAAATCTTAATATACCTATTAGGATTTTTAATAATTGTTATTTATATTAAAAAGTTATCGAGATTACTGACATAAGACACTAAAAAGCTTGCATTGGTTTATGTATGTTTAGAATTAAAAAAAAATGGAAAATTTTAACACGAAAATTTACATTAAAACATTTTTTTTATAAAATAAAAATTAAGTTAGACTATATTCTATTCATCATTTAAATCTTATCGCATTATTTCAGGATATTTACAAGTCCTCATTCCACGTCCCCGGCACTTTATGTCGTAGTCCTAATCTAATTATGTACACAATGGTAACTATGTTACTGATCGAACCTTATTTTATATGATTTTATATAAATGATTATATGTTTATGTACATGTTATATAATCGAAACCTTTAATATCATTTCTATATGATTATAATGAAGTTTCATGTGTTTACAATTTAAAAAAAAACTAAATTGAGTATTAGCATTTGTTCTAAAATTTCTTTGCCTTTTTATTTTTTAAATAAACAGAGTTTCATATCTGTAAGTTAAAAGAATTACTGTTACACGAATTATTATTTTTTGATTCAAGAACGTCTTTTTGTTTTGTATTTAAATATGTAAATAAAAATGTTCTACTGATCCCTAAAAACATGTATGTATACGCACATATTAAATGCTAAATTATTATTATTAGATACTCCTTAGGCTACATTTTAAAAATATTTATGGAATGTATGGGTTTAAAATAATGGTATTCGAAGGTAATCTTGATTTCTAAGGATGGATAAGTGCCTTTAAAATTGTTTAAATATTTCAAGGCACTTTGTATCAGAGAAAGATGATTATTTAATTCGTTGCGTGTTTAAATATTACGCTAATCTTGACATTAATAAAATAAAAATTAAGACTAAAGTTTTACAGTTTGTAAAAATGCTTAAAACGGTGTAAATTAAACATCAGTCACTATAATATGGATATGATACAGCTGCCTCTAATCTTATCTATATACTAATACATAAACTCTCATCCTCAAAACTCGTCTTATCCATCTTTTCATATCGTTCAGTATTTATTTAAAAAGGAATTATTAAGAAATACTGAGTTTTATGTATAAAATAATTATCACGTGTCTATATGTTACCATTAAGGCAAATAAGACAAGGTAATTTACGCTTTAACAAAAATAAAAGCTGTAAAATAGTGGATGAAAGCTGGATATGTGGTCGAGATGATCACATACACAGCTCTATTTGTTCGAAATTATACACAAATAATATTACAAACTAATCTATAAATTAGAAAGTGAACTGTTGACTTATCTTATCATCGTCACACTGTTGCAAATATAATGCCGGCCTGTCTGAATCTAGACAAGCGTTTAGTTTTGCGTGTCGAATGAGAGGGCCACGAGTTCTCCAAAGCTGGGCGTCATCTGAAGGATCGCACGCAGCGAGGACTGCAGTCACACGGTCCTCTGAGAGGGAGATACAGAGGCTGTGATGGCGGATGAGGCCGTTGTCGAAACGCCACTCTTGGTTGCCACCGGTGTTGTGACATGGGTACATACCTGTTTGTTTTTTTTTTGGATTAAAAAATGTTTTTGTTGGTATTCTATGGCTTTGGTTACCAAAGTAAAATTATTATTTATCAAGAATCTAACTCAATTGAGCTCAAATTTTATTGACATAGGTACTATGTCTTTAAATTATAAAACCTATATATAAAGCGTGCACATAAAACCAACATTTTATTTTTTTGCTTAAGGCAGATTTATTCTACTCACCTACAGTACCGTCAATAAGATGTCCCATTGTGTCCAAGCATCGTGGGCCTTGTCTGATCGCATATGAAGCGCCTCCCATCGCAGGCACCTGCAGTTCAGGGTACACGTGTTCGAGGTACCATCTAAACGGCTTGCAGTGAAGCTTTTCACGGATTGCTAAACGTTCGGATATGCTGAAAATTTATAATATTTATTTAATTTACTTCTTTTAAAAGCAGCACGTATTTCTAGTTTATTGAATAAATATATGTACTTAAAAATATCAAAAAAAATGCTCATAAACATTTATTTACATTACAACAGACAAAAGTAGCTAATCAATTCTTCTATAATATATTATAATTAGCTATTATTCAGGCTATAGCTATTCAACCCTCTATTATATGAGCGCTACTTTATACAAAATAGAAAATAAACTATCGTCTATTTTCACGCAGATAATTACATCGTAAAATAATGTTTCATAAACAAGCAAAAGTTCTAAAAAGTGTGTGTGTGCGTATGGCTCCAACCACAACCTAAACAAACCAGATATATCATTAAAAAAAAACATTAAACTCTTGACTCCAGCATTTTGTCATGTAATTACATACGTGTAAAACAATTAACTCACTCTCCATATTCAACTTGCTTTGCCAAAGGTTGCGATCTATAGTAAAGTTCCTTGTAATCATCCATCCAGACTTCGGCGGCACGACGAGTGTTCCTGGCGAAGACCGCTCCCGACCCGCCCGGGAACGTGTACGGGTGACGCTTGCGGAACACATGGCCCACTCGGGAACACGGCACGATCTCTAGTGATCCACCACATTGCCATACTCTGGAATTTAGGTAACCTTGTTGTATTTTAATAATAATATTTGTTATTGTTATCTGTTTTAGTTTTTAGTTATGATTACTTTTAATTATAACTTTTATTATACCGAAATAATTGATAGCTTTTTTTTAATATACATTTTATTAAATTACAAGCAAAAAATGCGTATTGATATTATCATTTACATATATTAAGATCACAGTATAAGATTGTTATAATATTATATGTCTCGGAAAACGTGTGTTTTCGAGTTTTCATGAGGTTTTCTTTCGCATCGTCCACGCAAAACATGGTCACACTTCCGAATCCCGGTCGGATGGATGCAAGTAAACTTTTGTATTTTTTTTTGTATTCAAGTTTTTTTTGTACTTTAAAATTGTACTTTTGGCCAAAAACTTCGAGCCAAACTGTCGCCTAGGTACTTTTTATTAAATATATATATATATATGTATTTACGTGCTGATCACACAAATGAATGCCCCCAGCGGGACTAGAACCCGCGACCGCTGGCACAGCAAATAGGGTCACTACAAACTGAGCCAAACGTGTTGTCAAGTATAAACACGAATGAATCTAAAATTGTAAATCAAAGCAATTAATTCTGAAAAGCTTCATGTAAAAATTTTTGTTTTGTAATATCCCCGATAGGTGGCGCTAGCGCTACTGATAGGTAATTATAGACCATTGTTGAGTTATAGTCACAAATCATAATAATATCGTTTTATAATAATTACTTTTTTCTTCCAATTCAACAGTACAGAATTAATATAAATTATTAATTCCTATATAAATATAAATGACAATTTTATTATTATAAAATTTATTGGAAATCACACGCATAATTGTACTTAAACAAATAATAATATTTAATTTATAATACCTGAATGAAATTTCTAAGTTCTCGCCGCCCCAAACATCCATTTTCATATCATATTTGCCCAGTTTGTTGAAATAGCGTCTGTCCATACTGAATAGCCCCCCAGCTATCATTGGCGTTCTGATCACTTGTGTTGGATCACTGAGACGTGCGCTGCGTTCCGCATGCGATAAGTATTCCCACTGCAATAAGTTAAATTAAAATGTATAGTAGTACTTGGTTGTATGGATTAGGTAGGGGTCACTAGTTCGGTTATCTGTAAGTGCAAATAAAGCTGTATTTAAATTTTTAGATGCGTATCATCATCTCTAATTTACCTAATATGCGGATAGATTTAGCTTTGAATTAAAAAATGTCACTAAGGGAAGTTAGCCAATTAACTAAAAAAAAAATCATAAATAAGATGTCGTGCCTATCTCGATCTAGTTTTTTTTATAGCAATTAGAATACTTGATAGCGTTAAAAAATTATAGCTATATTATGTACTGCGATATAACAATAAACAATAAACAGATATCTTAACGACCAAAAAATATTAATTTGCTGCCAAAACATACAAACGTATTTTTTATTAGTAGTAGTGAAGGTTCCACGTGTTACCAACGTGTAAGAAATAGCAATTATGTTTTTTAATCGTAATTATAGTACCGATTCAATGGTTTATCGGCTAGTTCACACAATTCGAGAGGCAGATTACCTTGAACACCAGGTTCCAGTCGAAGCCGCCCCGTAAGTCCGCCGACGCTCCTATGTACTGAAACGTGTCCATGCTGATGACATCGATCACAGGACACACTACTCTTGTTGGGTCCTAAAAATAAAATAATCATATAATTATATAACATACGTTAAATATTATTTTTTGTTATTTAGCATGCATATGCAGCACGACCTACTGCTGGATACAAGCCTGTCTTCAATATGAGGGGGATCAGGCCATAGTCCACTATGCTGGCCAAATGCGGTTTGGCAGACTTCACATATCTTTTGAAAACTTGCTAGGTTCTCTCAGACATGCAGGTTTCCTCACGGTGTTTTCCTTCACCTTAAGACAAGTGGTAATCATGTTGGAAATGATTCACACATGAAAATATCATAGGTACGAGATTCAGGATTGGAACCCGCTTCACTCGATTTCCCAAGCAAGCGCGCGTTACCACTGGGCTACCACTGCATATTTTTTTTTAAATATCTTAGTATTCCATATATATTCCATATATAACTCAATATAAAGAATTTAAGACGACTAACTTAGGGTACTGTAGATTTACATAGATTATAGATAGAGTTACTTAGGGCCTAAGTGACTATATATAATTCCACTTTCTAATAAAATGCTTCTAGCAGTTTATAAGCAATAAGTGTACGAACAGCCAGACAAACAATCTAATAGTAACTTTTTTGGAATTTATATGGGAACACTCTTGAGATTATATAACATGTTTATTAAAAAATCCCACGAAAATCGGTTCTAAATTGGTAATGGTATTGCATAAAGTATAAAAAACATGGCCCAAATTAAGTACCTCTCACTTCATATCTACATACATAATATATTTTAAATAAAATAGAATAACTTTTTTTTTCTTTAAATTGAAAAACCTTTTTTATGTATGAATCGATTAAAATAACATAAATACTAAATGTTAAGTGAAGCATATCATAATACATTAGAGAAAACCACATCCAAATCGGCTAAGCCGTTTCCGAGATTAGCGCGCACAAACACAGAAACAAAAGTTCTAAAAATCATTGCATTAACAAAGACCCCAATAATAGTTTTTCTCAAATATCTTCCATGTACAGACAGCGATTAGTTACAATTTTATTATAGGTAACATAGATTATTGAACTACAATTTTTTCAAATCTATCGAATTAGATATATAGATCAGTAGAATATAAAACATTTGCCACTAAAGGCTTACCTGAATCTTGGTGGACAATGAAAAAAAAAAACATCTTGATATCCTTCATACGACCAAAAGTGAACAAAAGTAAGTTATAAATAATTGATTCTTGCTATTCGTACGTGCGGTTAATTGGGCTGATACCATTTACAAATTAAATTTTAATATAAAGTAACAACGCGTAATATAAAATATACATGTATAATGTTTATAGTATCTACTACTGCTTCATATTTGTGTTCAACGCACTTTGGAAATGACCAAGGGGCCTGAATGTAACTATTTTATTAATGTCTTAAGCAGCTAAGCTATGTAAATTTTTGGGTATATGTACATATATCGTTGTTACAAGTTGTCACAGGAAAAGAGTTGTAGTGCATTTAAAAAAATATCAATGAACAATCATTTAATCTTTTTTATAAAAAATTGCCTGGTATTTTTTTTGTGACAACCCACTTGGGTCGTGTTTGTTAAATTAATACGTTTTGTGGTTTAATATATATAATATATTTCGACTGGAAAAACGGTGAGGGGTCCACCACATAGATCGGGATCTTAGACTATAACTAAATTTAGAAATTTGATAAAAAGAATAGGTTAAATGTCTTATATAGTATATATACCCTCTAATTTTATTTAATAATTTAGATAATTATACGTATTATAGAGGTCAGTCATAGTTTATAAAAACATAATAAATCAGAAATTCCCATAATGTATAAAATAGGAAAACCTTTAAAACATATAGTTAGTTACTCATTTACATTACAACATTTTTACCTATACATCTAATAAAATTCCAACTGAGTCGAATATGTTACCAACGTTAAATATTTTTTGGAAAATCTTATCGTCATTATTGTCGATGCAGAGGCCGAATCTATGTATAGTTATTAGATTTTTTGTATGTCTGACGCTAGTTCTTTCCAAACTGATATTTTCATTACCACAACATTATGCAACTATATGTATATAAAAATAATCATGTTTTCTGTCAATTCATTTTAAAGTTTTATTTTTTTGTAAAATTGAATTAACAAAAGAGAATTAATTTCATTAACATAATTTACTACAAATACTATATAGTAATTATTTGTTGTTACCACTATACATAGACTTCATTATGGTGTCAAAAAAACATCAACGAGTAGGAAATAGAATATAAAGAAGATAGCTATTAGCTTAGCTTCTATTTCTATCCGTACAACCGACGCTTGCTTTCCTTATTATTTATACTAGCTGCACATGCGACTTCGTTCTCGTTTACTGAAATGGCATATTATAAAAGAAAACGCTTTAAACAAAGTTAAACTTTCTGCTTTTCCCATTAAAGAATAAATTTCCAAAAATTCCTTCTTACTCCATCAATCAAATATAGTATTCGTATAAACTATCACCTGACCTAATATAATGATAGATTTAAAATTTTCGAGATTTCACGATTATTTTGTCAGTCAGTGAGTGGTATTTGGCTTTTATATTTAAACTATGCATTAACACAAAAGTGGAGAGGTAAAGAAGCTGTATATTTCGTGACCATGATTGCTGTAAGCTTTGAAAATCTCAATGTAAAACCGCGATAAATCCAAAAGTTTCATTTATAATATCACATATTCGCGTAAGAAAGTATTAAGAGACGCAGAATGTTATGTTGCCTCCCGAGCTATTTAGTATCAGTCTATATAGCCTGTCGTACTTGACCACATCACCCGAGTATGAAGACCGTATAAGGCTACTTCCACATCACCTGTTTGACGGACGGATATGCAGTGTAGCCTATATATCTGTTAAAAACTTTTAAAGAAATTAGTACGTAATTTTAAAATTACACACATTTTTAATATTTATCATTCGCATTTTTAGGTACGTTATTTTTATTTTTTAAATATAATAATTTTTTTTATATCTTAACGTTTCTAAAACTCTTACAGAAGTTATAAACATATTTATTTGCGTAAATAGAAACGGAATTAATTTTCGGACCGTGACCGATATACGAGATTGGACCTTTGGCTTTCACCAAAAGTTGAAGGCCGATCACATGCTCGAATAACATATCAGATTTTTTGTTCATATTATCTACCTAAAATGATACATTTAAGTTATAAAGTAAAATATACTTTATAAATAAATATTAACTGGCTTAGACAAGACAATACTTCAAAATCGTTATCGCTAGTATAAAACAAACAATACATATTATACGGAAATTATATATATATATATATATATATATATATATATATATATATATATATATATATATATATAGTATATCTATCTCGTCTCGGCTTTACATAAATTTTAATTAAAACGCGGCAAGAAAGGAATTCAATAATTATTCAAACAAAATGTTTTCTTCAAGACATAAATGTAAAAAATTATAAAAATTATCATTTCAACTGAAAAAGCAAACTTGTTACTTACTACACATTAGCACCCAGTACGTATACCAAGTGTAAGGCAGTGGTAACCCAGTGGTAACTCGCTCGCTTGGGAAAAGTGAAGCGGGTTCTACCCCCGGTTCTCGCACTTTTGATATCCTTAAATGCGATTCATTTTCAACTTGAGTACCTTGCCTTACGGTGAAGGAAAACATCGTGAGACAACTTGTATGTGTGAGAGAACCTAGCAAGTTTTCGAAAAACATCTAAAATCCATCAATCCGCATTTGGTCAGCTATATTGACTATTATAGCCTGATCCCCCTAGTATACAAGGGAGGCCCGTTCTCAACAAAACGTTAAAATGGACTGAATACGGGTACCAGATTGTTATTTATTAAGTAAGTAATACTACACTAGTAAAGTTGGTGAATGTTTAGAAAGTAATTAAATTTTCAATGTTATCGGAAACTTTAACTCATATTAAAGTTACATCTTTGCGCGAGTTTAATAAATTTTCTCAGTATATTATAACTCTTTGACAGATGAGTCACCTTGTCTTGACAAGTCCTTAATTACCATTTTGTATAGGTTAAATTACGTTTTTACAATAAACTAATACCCCACGGTACAATCTGTGTCGCGATAAAAAAACCTATGTCTCCAGCCCACAAATTATTCTTATATAAATAAAAATGAAATAAAGAAGAAACTTTAAGCCTAAGAAATACAAATAATAAATATTCCTAAAACTTAAGTTTGGTGATGATGACTTTGTTGGTGTTTGTTTTAAACGCGTTAACGTCCTATTTGTTTTGGATTTTATAACTTACTAGCACTGCCCGCGTCTCCGCCCGCGTTCATATGACCAAAAACCAAATTGTTAGGTTTTACATATTAGTATACTCTTATACTCTTACATTATAGTTTTTGTATTTTTTCTCAGAAACGAGCCATTTTTCCGCGGTAAAAAGTATCCTATATTTGCCTTTGTATCGATAATAATGTTTATTTCAATAAGATTTTCGAAAAAATATTAAATGTATAGATTCGACTCGGTTAGAATTTTATTATATGTATAGATTGATGAAGGCCTTTAGCAAATTCACACTGCGAATCTTAGAAACGGATCAATAAATAAATTAATAAGCTACCAGTTGTAAATGCTCGTTATATAAGAGTATTTTTAACTGTCATAAATTCTTAATAATAATAGGTGACAAAGATACCGATAGATATTTGCCGACAAATTAGTGGTTGGCATTGTTCCACGTTTAGTCTGAAGTAGGTCATTTCGTGTATTTTTAATTAAGAGCTAGATATTATCGTGTAGTAAAACTCGCTCTAGACCTACGTTAAAATATTGCATTTAAACATATTACGATGTAAAAAAAAATAATTTACATTTATATACATGTACTAAAAGTTGTGCATTATAAACTTGAATGGATGAATTATAATAAAACCTATTAATAAAGATAATCGGAGTAAGTAACAACTCGCAGGAGCAACTACTATA